AAGCACCCAAGGGGAGACTCAGACCCAGCCACAGGCAGCCAGAGGTGCAAGTCAGCTGCTGTAGGTGCATGCATGCGCGCGCATGCACAAGTGCAAAACCCTGGCCTTGGGATCCTGAACGCTGAGCCAAGGGACAGCCCCGGTTTCTGTGACTGGCACTGCCCAGGTCAGGAATCGCGCTGACTTGAGCATGCCTTGGCCGGCCGATCCGGCCTCTGCGCGCATGTTGTGCAGAGGGAAGCCTGAGGCTGTGGCCAGTGTTCCCTCTAAGCTGAGTCAGTGTGAGCTAGCTCCCAGTTTTTTAGCCTCCGGCTCACACGTTTTTATTTATTTATTTTTATTTATTTATTTTGGATTTATATCCCGCCCTCCCCGAAGGCTCAGGGCGGCTAACAAAGCCTTAGCTCAGGAAGGATGGGGCTCCAGAGCAAACTAATTTATGCAGGAGCCAAAGCTCTCGCTCACAACTCTAATGCCAGGGACTCAGAGAGTAGAATTTCTGCTCACAGGACTCTCCACAGCTGAGAGGGGGAGTCCTTGGCTGTGACGTGCTCTGAGGGACCACAGACAGGGACCAGAGGCAGGCAGGCAGGCAGGCAGGCGAGCACCCCCTCCCACACAAGGCCCAGCCACACGCTGCCGCCAAGGAGGGCGAGCAACCTCCCAGACCCCCTCCGTTGGACGGAGCAGGTCTCAGCTCTTGACTGCTCGTACCCTGAACATCTCATGGGTCTCCGAGGCCCACCTGGACCCCCGCCTCACTCTTCCACTGCAGACAGACATGGCTGCCCTCCAGGACTCTCAGTTGGGGGGTGGGGAGATCGTTATTTCATTCATCGAGAATAACCTGCCTTTGGACTATGGAGCGGCACGACACGCCATCAGACTGAGATTCTCCAACAGTCACTGACTGAGCCATTAATTCAAGGCACAACAGTAAGCTGGGGGGGGGGGCTTCCATCACTTTATTTCCCGCCCCCCCGCCCCTGTCGGTTGCCCCTCCCTTCCACAAGAGTGTGACACCAACCGCCTGCCTGGCAGGACTCCTGCCTGCACCTTGGAAGGCCGGGCTGTGCAGAGGCTCTCCAGGCCGAGGAGCACATCTGGGAGAGCAGACGCAGCCAGATGTGCCCCCTCCTGCCCCTCTTCCAGGCCTTTGTGGGGATCAACCACTTCCGGGAGGGGGGGCCCCACCGCTGCAGCCGGGGAGACTGATGCTCCCCACCAAGAGTCCAGCTGGGTAAAGACCTTCTGCCGGGCAGCAGCCCGGGTGTGCCCCACGCCACGCCACGCCACGCCACTCCCACCCTGCTTCTGACAAGGCTGACCGTGAGTCTCTCGAGCACTGAAGCCCTGTCACGAGAAAAGGTGGCTGTGCTCCTGATTCTGGCGGGGGGGGGACTTCCAAGGGGCCTCTCTGGCGAGCCCCAGGGGATCTGCAGGGGGCCACAGAGTGGGGCTTGCTTGCCAGCTGGTGTGGCAGAAGGGACGGCATCAGAACCAGGAACCGATGGGCGACACTCTAGGAACCTCCAAATCTCTGTGGTCTCTGCCATAGCTGCGGGGGGGGGGGGCTTGGGCTGGCCTGCCGACTCAGGGCACAGGAAGCCTTTGGTCCGGGCCAGAAGAGCTGCCCGTTCCTGTGGAAACGGAGGAGAGCAGAGGGGCTGCCTGAACCAGACCTCTCCGTGCCCAGAGGAAGCGAGCCTCTCTCGACTCTCTCTGCTGGTGCCACTGCGAAGCGGCCCACCCTGGGAGGGGAACACAGAAAGCAGCCTGGCACAAACCACCTCTCAGAGCTGCCGGCTCCCACTGGCAGCCGCTTCCCAAGGTCTCGGGCCCAGTTCTTTTCACCCCAGAGAGCCGGCGTGGGGTAGGGGCTGGCGTGTCAGCGGCCTAGCCCCTGGGAGAGCCCGGCCGGAGTCCTCCCTCTGCCGTGGAAGCTTGCTGGGTGACTTGGGGCCCATCGTACCCACTCGGCCTCACCTGCCTCACAGGGCTGTTGTCCTGGGGATGACATGGAGGAGAAAGGCAGGATCCTACTGGAGACCAAGAAACCTTCGGAGGAAAGACTGGGGGACTTCTTGGGAACGGGCAGTGTGGGGAAGAGGAGGCGGAGGGGGGGGGGGACCGGATGGCTCTCCTGAAGTCTCTGAAGGGCTGTCTGTGTCCCTTGGAGGAGGGCAGGGAGCGGTTCCTGTGGGCAGCAGGGGAGAGGACTCGCAATCTCAGGTTTAAATGACAGCTGCAAAGATACTGGCTGGATCTTAGGAGAAACGTTTTTGCAGGAAGCGTACTGGCTGCCTGGGGAGGGGGGGAGCTCCCCCTCCCTGGCCGTCTTCAAGCAGCGGCTGGACAAACCCTCCTCGTCAGGGATGCTCTGGGCTGTCCCTGCATTGAGCAGGGGGCTGGGCTAGATGGCCTCTGCGGCCCCTCCCAATGCCGTGATTCTATAAAAACCAATGCATCCGTTAACATGACCCCCCGACCCTTCCAGCTGAAGATGCTGGGGACTGGACATGGGACCTTCTCCCAGCAAAGGAGACACTCCACCACTGAGGCACAGCCCCACCTGAACAAAGAAGAGGAGAATGGATTCATACCCCCCATATGGCCCTCCACTACCCGAGGGGGGAGTCTCAGAGCGGCTGACAGTCTCCTTTCCTTTCCCTTCCCTTCCCGCTGCCTTCTACTGAGTAACACTCTGACTGGCTGCTCTGCCTGGCAGGGGCTCTTGGGGGCCTTTGACCTCACCTGCCACTTGGGGATTGAACCTATGACCTTCTGCATGCCACGCAGAGGCTCTGCCACTGAGCCATGACACACACACCCCATTACAGTGTTGGGTCTTCTACAGCCCAGATCCAGACCTTCACTCGCTATGTGACCTGGCAACAGTTCCTCTCCCCACCCAGCCTCCCTCACGTGGCTGTCGACACACCCAAATTCCTTCTGATTTAACTGAATTGTTGAAATGTTTTGAATAAACGTCACTGTCAATAAACTCCACCAAAGCCATGGTCAGTGAGCTCAGTTCTGACCCCGGGCGAGGAGGACACCCTGGAAGAGCCCGGATGGTCTGGGGGACGGGGGCAGCCGCTGGGCACAGCCACACCCCATGGAACACTTCCACCTGGCTCGGGAAGCAGCGCATTGGCCCAACAGATACCCCCCCCCCGGATCCCATGAAATGTTGTCGAGGGCACTATGACAAGCAGTTGGAGGTGGAGTTTGAGCCACACGCTCTGAGAAGGAAGAGAGCGCCTTCAAGCTTCTCTCGGGCTGTTTTGCTGCACCAGGGATCTGATTGCACCAAAACAGTCGTTCACGGCAACATGTTGTCGAAAGCTTTCACAGCCAGAGTTCATTAGCTGTTGTAGATTTCCCGGGTTGTCTGGCCGTGGTCTTGGCATCATAGGACATCAGCTCCTACAAGGCCAAGACCACGGCCATGCAACCCGGGAAATCCACAACAGCAGTTCGCAGCTTTCGTTTTTGTTTTTTTTAAAATAAGTCTCTCGTCCTTACCCTTGTAGACCTATGAGGGAAACGGTATATGCTGAACATTTTCTCCTATAACTCTGCAATCAAAAGGAATAGAGACTTTTAAAAAAAAACGGGATGTGGGAACAAGCACAGTGTTGCAATAGACTGTTCTCGTGCCATAACACCACAGCAAGCAAGCAATTCCTGATTTTTTTAAAAAAGCCCTCGAAGGAAGGAGGAGGAAGTAGTGGCTGCAGGGTGCTGAGACAAGGAAAGTGCAGAGGAAACTGCTGTGTTGACGCGCCCTTCCTCTGCAAAGGCCTCTCTGCCATGGTGGCAGCAGCGAGAGAGATCGACACAGAGAGCCATCCCTGGGTGGAAGCAGGACAGGACCCTTCAAATGAAGCTGGGTGCAGGACAGGACCCTTCAGGTTCCTGTTTTCTTTTCTACTGGGAAGTGGGTGCTTGTGGCAGAGTGTGGCGGATATTTAACCACCCGTGCCATTTCCCTCCACCGGCAAACCTCAACTTTCCCTCCCTGCAGGGCAAACAGTCACCCAGGAAGGGCATATTTGATTGCAGGGATGATAAAACACCCGATTCCAACCATTCGGCAGGCAAGCCGGCAACCCTCGGCCGTCTACCTTTCAGCTAAAAAGAGCTGTCAGGGGCAAAGAGCGGGGGCGGGCGGGGGTCCCTCTGTGGCCTCCTGCGTGCCCTTTCCCACTGATCTGTGCCCCCCCTCCCGAAGCAGGCCCCAGGGCTGATGCCCCATTCAAGCCGGCCACGGGAACCGTGCCCCACCAAGCCAACAGAAGCAGCCTCTCTTCCATTACCTTCCTCTTTATTACAGCCACTCTTGGGTGCCAAACAATCCAGGGGGGAGTGAAGGATTCCGATCGGAGGGTGTTCTCCCCCCCCCCTCCACCAAAGAGAACAAACTGCACTTGATGAACATTTGCCGGCTCCACGTGTCCAAGGGACCATCCACATTTACCAGCTGCCTTTTGCACAGCAAAAGAGATCATAGAAACACGGAGAGGGGGGAAGAGGGACTCCTGTTGTCGAATAACCAAACCCGACATAACTTAAAAAAGCCAAAAAGGGAAAGGGAGGAGGAGGGGCTCCCTCACCTTCGCCACAGTGCAAAAAACCCTGACCCGGACAGGAGGAGAGGCGAGGAGGAGCCCCACTCCCTTCACAGTCATATATATACAGACAGACACACACACCCCGTTGTCTTTTGAGAAGGGGAAACTCTGGGGGGGGGGGCGGCCCCGTGAGTTAAAGCCGGGGACTTTAAACATGAGGCCTCCTCCCCCCTCCACCGCACCCCCCCTTCCCTTCGGAAAGGCCTCTGGCAGCTCTTCCAGGTTCTTGGGCCGGTGGGCAGGCGGTGGTGGTGGGGGCACCCGGGCCAAGGGGTGGGGGGTCTTCCAGTGTGTGTGGGGGGTGATCCCAAGACATTGCACGTTGCTCCTCTTGGCTCGTCGAGTCGCCCTCGGGGCCTCCGTGGCTCTAGAGGGAGGGGGAATGGCCCTCTCCCTCCAGCGCCCCCCCCCCCGCTTGCTTTCCGTCCCCGAAGGCGGCGGCCGCGGGGCTCAGCCGGTGTCTGGCTCGGGGGGGCTGTCGCGGGCGGCGGCGGCGGGGGGCTGGGGCGGGGATCCGCCGTCGGGGCCGTTGCTCTCGATGGAGGACTCGCTGCCGGTGCTCTCGCCGGAGAGGAGGCGGGTGACGCGGAGGTCGGCGCGCAGGAGGGCCGGGTCGTTGCCGATGGCCAGCTGGCCCAGGCCGCAGATGAGCGCGCCCAGGCTGGGCGCCCCGTCGGGCCGGCCGTCGTCCAGCGGGGCCAGGAGCTCGTCGTCCTCCTCCTCCTCGTCGGAGTCGTCGTCGTCCTGGTCCTGGGCCCGGCCGTGGTAGGGGCGGCGGGGTGGGTGTCGGCGGGCGGCGCGCTCCTCCAGCTCCTCGCCCAGGGCGTCCTCGGTGATGGGTCCGAGCTTGGGCGCGCCGCGGCTGCGCTCGACGGGCGGCTTGTAGGAGGCGGCGGGCCCGTGGAGGAGGAGGAGGCGCCGTCGGAGGGGGGGCAGGAGCGGGAGGGCGGCGTCGGCGGCGGGCCCGGCCTGCTGGAGCTGCTGGCGGCGGGCGTCGGCGCGGCGCTTGAGGCGGCGGAACTCGGCCAGGGCGGCGGCGGAGGTCTGGAAGAGGAGGAGGGCCATGGCGCGGGCCTTCTCGGCCTTGGAGACCAGGACGGCGTGGCAGCGGAGGAGGACGGCCTTGTGCTTCACCTCGTGCCGGTACACCCAGGCGAAGAGGCGCGGGAGGCGCGCGTCGGCCACGCAGTAGGTGACCCGGTGCAGCAGGTAGAGGTGGCCCGGCCGGGCGGCGGCGGAGGAGGCCGGGGAGGAGGCAGTGGCGGCGGGGGCGAGGCGCAGGCCCTGCGGCCCGATGGTCAGCTTCATCTTGGCGCCCAGGCGGCCGGCCTCGCTCTTGGCCCAGATGCGGCCCACGGCGGCGTCGGTGCAGCCCTCGCCCTTGGCCTGCAGCGTGGTGGCGTTGCCCAGGTACAGCACCGTGTAGGTGGGCGCCTCGCGGCTCACGCGGAACTTCTGCCGCTTCCCGCGGAACAGCTGGCCCACCCGGCTCAGCCCCCCCGCCGAACCCAGCGACGCCGACGCCGCCGCCGCCGCCGAGCACGCC